TTGACGCTGTTTTATGTGTATTGTTGTTGGTGCAATTTGGGTAATCTTGGAAAAGGATATATAATGTATGTATTGGGCAGAAAAGCAGGGTGTGGTGATTCACATTGTTTTAAGGGTTGTACGGACTCATTATACGTCAAAGTTAGCTACTGTTTTACGAGGCTCACGGTGTGATAGCTGCTAATTTAAATTTATCATGACTTATATTGTAGATTAAAACCTGAAAGGGGAGGCTGAATCGTGATAGTTGTATTGATCAGAGGATAAGGTATGTAAGGCGATTCGATTCAATATTCTTCGGCATGAAATCTGATACTTGAGATTTATATCAATAAGTGAATTTCCTAATTTCTATTCCTAGTAAAGGAAACATAGTGGCAGCGTATGATCTCCAAATAGCTAACAATATTTCCCCCTGTCCTTAATGTATAGAATTACTTCATTATATGTTCAGTAATCTATACTTGTGTAAATATCCTCCTATGTGCTGGTATAGAAATGGTATTTGCAAAAAGCAAGTTTGGTGAATCCTCCTCTTAGTTAGTTGAAGTCAATTGTGTCATTTAAGCTCACAAGTAATGCATTGATGTTATATAGCTCCTTATGTCATTGTTACTGCCTTGAAGTATTATTTTCATGTCTTCTACTACTGCCATAGTCCCTAATATAAAAAATGATTATGACCAGCAAAACAACAATCTCAAAGATTAAAGAATCTAAGTAAAGCAATCTGTATAATTCAGGTTGGCAGCTCAGGGGCGAACGACTAGCATGGGCCGATCCCAATTGGTATAGAAGGGTGGCAGCTCAGGGACGAAAGCCTAGCATGGGCCGATCCCAATAAGTATAATTATGAGGACCACATCCCAGGGGTTAAAATGCCTAGCATGGGTCATCCTCTTCTACCACTGATCAGCTGGTCATTCGTATCAAATGCCTTATAAAGATCATAACACACAGAAAGGTAAAGACAAGAATGTAACATACAAGAAGTTAACCAATGTGGTCTTCTGTTCTTATTTATGCACACATATATTGATACTTAGTTTCATTGAACTTATATTTAGATATGTTATTGCCTTACATATTCAGTACATTTTCTCGTACTGAAGTCCCTCGCAGGGGACGCTGCATTTCATGCTGCAGGCACAAGTACTTCAGCTAGTAGACCTCCTCAGTAGAAGCACACGGCACTCAGTTACTTTCGGTGAGCTCAAGATTGATTCAGAGCTTTACTGAGTGCTTGGTAGATTCATTTTGGTATTGTATCGTAGTTAAGGGTAAGGCGGGGTCTGTCCCGACCTACTCTAAGGTTTTGTATCTTTTAGAGGCTTTGTAGACTTATGTATATGCTTCAGTTGCGTCTTAACAAGTTGTGGCCTTAACGGCCAAGTCTTGTATATAAGTTTTGGGTCTACTTATGTTGGTTTGTATCGCTGCATCCTATGTTAACTTGTCACAAGATTGTCATAGTTATATGCATAGTAGGCACAGGTTACATGTTGGTTTTCTCAGGCCTTTAAGGCATCGGGTGCCTGTCCGTCTTAATGGGATTTGAGGCGTGACAAAAGTCGTATCAGAGCAGGTCATCCTAGGGAGTCTACAATGCCGTGTCTGTGTACAGTCTTGGTTATGGATGTGTTGTGCACCACATTTATAAACAGGAGGCTACGGGACATGTAGGAGTTGTCTCTTTT